ACCTAATAAAATAATGCTCAGTCTGCCAGCCAGCCTGCCTCTGCCTCTGCAAGTCTCGTCAAGTAAGGACTTAAGTCGACCAAGCTTACATAGATTTTCTCAAAAGAATGAGATCTTTAGTGTGGAATATTCACTTGTAATCCCTTCAATTGTAAGAGCATACGAATTTGTGCACCGTGCGTACAAATCATATGTTGTACTTGTCTGAATTTAATTCATCATTCTCATTACCCTTATAATCCCAGCTTGGATATTAGATTTTCGCTGATGATAATATTTCAATCTCGGTTGTTCGGAACACACTGCAATGCTGTGAAGTGCAAGCAAAAAAAAATACTAATTTTGCTTGCGGCCTGACATCCTCACAACCAAGCCGAGTGTGTCTAATATTCTAGAGCGTATTCAATGACATTACCTAAAAGCAACTTTATGTGTTGTCAGGATCAATCCGATTAAAATATCTGTATAATAGTATGGCTATCATATAATCCTTTAAAATAAATCGAGTAACAGCGACACGTGATCAAGTGACATTCAGGGACTCTTAGAGCTTTGTTGCCACGCGTCTGGAGACCGCACTTTTGTTTCCAAGCGAGCGCATTATAAGACGGAGCTTCCATTAAACATGCGTTGTTTCGTTGCTTTATTTTTCGCTTTTCCTTGCGGATGGCGGACTGCATTAACAGGCGCGTGTCGGACTCGCCCCTTCCTCCCCGCCTCGGGGGGACTCCAGCATTCATATTGCGGGGCTGTACATTCAGGGCAGGCATGCGAGCTTCAAATACTTTTTTCCGTACGTGTAAGAATTTCGATGATCCTTACGAGCAGTGAAGCGACTGGGTGGTGTACCAGCGGGTTGAAATTATTCGGTAATCTGAACAGAGGCTGGTAGACCGAATGGGGTCAAATTCAACTTATTCATTTTAATTACGATTCAAAAGTAGAAAGAATGTATGCGTTAAGTTTTAGTCATACGATCACAAAAAAAATTGTCGCTACCGCTCTTGGAAGGTCATTTCTGTATGCATCATTCCAATGAAGTTGAATTATGGATTAGATGATATATTCTCCTCCACAATTCTTTACATAATGCAAATACTTATTAGTCCCTGTTATTAGACTGGACTTCATATACCTAAGTGGAGTTCAATTCGATATTTAAATATTCTAATAAAAAAGAATATCTTTAAAAAACAACAACATTTCAATTTATCAAAAATGCGATTGTTTTCTACTTTCAACAGCAAATTTTCCAGCAAACTAAAATGATGCAACTTGTCTCAATGCCTAAAACCTGGCTGGTAGAAGCGAACAATTTCGAAATATCAAAGCGGCAGTCAGGGTTCTGTGCTCGCTTGAAGGGTTCTGACGCGGCGAGCATCTCGCGCTCACGGGTGAAGGAGCCAGAAAGAACTTACCGGAGCCGTAAAAAAGACGTCTTCCTGCTCCCTTTGGCTGTGTACACGTCGCGCAAGCAACCATGCAAATCATGAGCTATAGTCTGCAAGGAATCCCTCCGTCTTTGAGCAGGTCTCCAGCGAAGCTGCAGTTCCAAGCCACTTTGAGACGTCGAAACTCAAAGGAGAATGTTTCCGCAGCTTTACATTAACACAATTCTGGCCTTGAGCATTTCTCCACAACTAAAGCATTTACGCCCTAGAGCATTTCTTCACTGCTAACGTATTTACGCTCTAGAGAATTTCTCTTCTACTAAAGCATTTACCCTCAGGCGCATTTTTTCACTGCTAACGCATTTACGCTCTCTAGAGCATTTCATCATTATTACCGCATTTACGCTGTGGAGCATTTCTTTTCTACAAAGCATTAACCATTTACATCATAAGGAGTTGAAATTTAAAGTTGGGTATCCAGCCTTGCTCTGCGACACCCCAAAATTTTATCACTATTCAGCTCAAGCTCCCTAAACTAAGTTTTATTCTTTTAACAGGAATGTTATTACAGTTTAGTGCAAATTATAATATGCTCCACTCTTTTTTATCCAGGACGTGTTTTGTATGACTCAAATTTCCACCACTAAAATCAAATGTCAGGTCCAGGTGGATTCCCGACACGGTAGGTATCATGGATATATGCCCGCTTAGCCGCATATTCATGGCGTCAACACGCAAAAATAAATGTAAAAGACATTTGAAAGCATGTAATGATAAAATGTCTGATATTGTATTCAATCTGGTTTTGGGGTTCATCTTAAGGTCAATTTCCGTTCTTTTATATTATATGTTTCATGAAGAATACTATCGTTTTATACTTAAAACAGAAAATTTTCAAGAAAACTGTAATGACGAAACTTGTTTCAATGCCTAAAATCTTGGCTGGTTTGGGGTGTCATATGTTTCATAAATGGATGTTTTTGAATTATTGTCGTAATACTTCATATTCTTATCCAACTTTTCAACTAGCTTATTATTTTTTTCTCTCATTCCTTGCTTATCAGTCAATTTTTCTGCTAAACTAATTTCCGATTCCGAGTACAATTTTAATTTAAATTCTCACACGGCAAAAAATTTCTGTTATAATCATCAAAAACTTGCACTTGCCATTTAATTTTTTCGTCAAAGCTAAACTTCAGTTTCAGATTTTCTATATTTACAATTTGCTTTTGCAATTGATGCCTTGGAAGCTCGTAGACATCAAAGTCTTCATCGCCCTCACTCGAGCAAAATCAGTCTTTCCTCGCGTCGCCGCCACAAAAAGAGCTTGTCTTTTAGCACTTTTTTTCACGAACTCGTTTGAAATTTCCACGAAAGCAAACAGGCAAGTTTGAAGTTCGGTGTTTTGAGGTGCCCCTCCAGGCAACAGAAGTGGTCTCTTATCGACTCTACCATTTTACTTCGCAGTTGCCAGAGATAATAAAACTTCCGAGCGCCTCAAAACGAAACTCCATGCAGGGTATTGGACTTCAAACTTCCTTCATAACTTTGATTAGATCTTGCTCTCGCGAACTCAAATGACGACGCATTGTACATACATTTTTTGAAGAATTCCTTTAATACACAAGATCCTGCTGAAGTAACTTACCTCCGAAATACACTGACCATGCAATTTTCGCAAGCGATTTCTCATGAATTTCAGCGGCTTACCTCATGCGAAGACAAAATTGTTGCAACTAGAACATCCGGTCGTCATTAATGCGCCGAAGAGGCCATGTGTTTCCAGCATTGCGGTATTCCAAACCCATTTGATACCACGTGTTTCCAGAAGTACCGTCTTGAGGCTCATTTGAAGTTACGTGTTTCTTGCAGGCCTGTGATCAGGCCACGAGTTTCCAGAAGTATAGACTTCCAGTCCCAATTGAGGCCTCGAGTTACCGGACAGTTCGGTCATTCAGCCCGATTCGAAGAACCGAGCAAAATCTGACCTTCAAGTCATATAAAGGTTTCGCGCAGCACTGCCGTCACGCATTAGAAGGCTCGCGTAGTTTCTCTTCTCGTACGATGACTATACGTGTTGCTTCGCAAAACCCGGGTTTTTTAGGTCAGTGAAAGTTCGTACAACACGGGTTCCTAAGGCCCGTGAATGCTACGCATGACTAGTGTTCTATTGCCCGTCGAGGCTTCGCAGAACATGGGTTTCTAAGACTCGTACCGCGTTTAGTCTTCCACGCCCGTGCAGCTCCCTTGTAGGCTGAGGCGAAGAGGTCGTTGAGGTGAACTGCCATTGGAAGTTTTTTAAGGCAACAACTGAGTTTGAGCAGCGCCTTGAGCCCAGCCATGCGAGAGAAGTGGCGTCGCGGCAAAAGCCATTTTCAAAGCTCGCTGAGCAGGTTGTTTGAGCAAGACCAAGCCCGTGGCACTGGTCTGCGGAGGAAGACGAATTTCAAATACAACCACAAAAATTCAACCACGGGTCTGCTTAACATTTTTATTGGATTTGTACGGATGTACTGTTGGCATTTCAATCGCTGCTCAGGAATGGTGGGGACGTTTAGATTCAAAAACTTTGAACTCCATGTAAATATGACAGCATGAGTGACTTGACTTATAACTACTAGTAGAAATTGCAAATATGAATTTCAATCAAAAATAACCTTCCTGTTGCTTGCTAATCAATTCAGTCAGATTGTATTTCACATGTAAGTTAAACTTACCTATGCTCACTCTGCTCCTCGAGATCGCGTACATGTCAAGGGCATTTAGGCACGGTGTAAAAAAAAGGAAACACAATTTATAAAATTGCATATAACACTGCGATGAATTATTTTTAGTTTTTATTTACATGTGACGAACTATAAAAAGAACTTTATGCTGCTGATGTGAGGTTATGCTCTGTATGATTTCACGTATTTTATATAAAGTACATGATTTGATGTCAAAGAAAGAACAATATCTCTCCTTCTGAAGACACAATATTCGCCTGCGACGCGTCCTCTCTCCAGCATATCTCGTCCTGCCCGATCGCTATGAATGCAAGAGCCCATTTTACGCTGAATTTGATCCAGAAAGTGTCGCCAAAATCCTGTCCTTTATTGTGCAGCGAGACAAAACCGAAAAAATAGTCACTTTTGGATCCAGCGACGTCAAAAAGAATAGCAAGCGATCGCCACATTGTAGTTTCCACAGCGTGCGATGTAGCCATGGCGACACTTCATGTTTTGTGCATTGTAACATGAGACGATGTATAATGCAAGTAAGAAAAATATTGTAGGACAAGTGTGTATCAAATATTTTAGATGAAGGAACAGTTATCAATTTTGTATACAATATAATCATGGTCCACTCATTCAAAGACATTTTTAATAGTTTGGGCAACTTTTACCTAACTCCATCGCCGTGAAGTTTAATTTAACTCATTTATTTTTTCAATCATGAAAAAATTCCCACTAAAGTCAAGCAGTCAAGAAATTAAATTATGCGCTGAAGCAATTGGACGAAATTATAAGCCTGTTCTCTGTTTGTTTTTAATTAGAGCTTGACTTTGACTTCCAAACAATATTTGCCGCGCTTCCATAACTGATTGCTGTTATCTTTAAATTGTTCCAGACCCTTATCAGATGTTCGGTCCGACCAGCAGCAGACTAGCGAGCTCAGGTACGTCGTACGTTCAATTTTTTTTCGTCGTCGAACATTGTTTGACACAAATACACTACTAATAATAAAGTGTTCACATATTATAATAAATTGTTCGTGTATTAACACTAGTATAAATACGTGGAATGTTACTACAGCGTCCTATACTACGACAAACTCACGCCGCAATGAGTTTCTCGAACTCATTGCGTCAGTCCTTATGTTTGTGAAAATATGTAAATACAAAACCTATAGTAAACACATTATTTCAAGCAATAATTATAGAAATATACTAACAGTACATAATAACCGTTCTTTTTTAACTCTCAAACAGCTAATTTTATCAAATTGAAAAAATCAAAATCATCATGACTCCAACACTCATTAATTACTTTAAACTCAGATATTTGTGTTCAGTCATGTTCATAATCGAATTCGTATTCATGTTCGCTGTCATGTTCATAGTCATTTTCATAGTCGAGCTCGTCATCATGTTCAAAGTCAAGTTCGTATTCATGTTCGATGTCAAGTTCATAATTATGTTTATTGTCGAGCTCGTAGTCATGTTCCGAGTCAAGTCTGTATTCATGTTCATAGTCAAGCTCGTTGTCATGTTCACAGTCTTGTTCATAATCAAGCTCATAGACAGTCTTGTTTATAATCAAGCTCATTCATATTCATGTTCGTGATTAAGTTCGTCGCCATAAACACGCGTGTTCATGTTCGCGATCATGTTCTACCTCACCCCCAGGCTCAGGACAGATCCAGCTGTGGCAGTTCCTGCTCGAGCTGCTCTCCGACTCGACCAACGCAAACTGCATCACATGGGAGGGCACCAACGGCGAGTTCAAACTCACGGACCCTGACGAGGTGGCGCGGCGCTGGGGCGAGCGCAAGTCCAAGCCAAACATGAACTACGACAAACTCTCTAGAGCTCTAAGGTGAATAATGATTATAATGTGATGACGGCCTGTTATTATATTATAATAATGATGACTTTTAATGGTTAACGTATTAATTAGTAACGGGTCAGCAGTCAATCTGCTGCGTTTGCGGAATGAAGGTGAATGAAGGTCCAGCAGTCGCTCTAGCTGGAGCTCTTGGGCGAACAGCAAGCTATTTACAAGGCAATGGTGCACCTAAAATGTAAACTATTCACCTACATCTACATAATAAATTTAAAACTTAGGAGAGAATGTGACCCCCTAACATTCTTTATTTTTTCAGATAATTCTAATAATTTCAAATTTCTTCTTTAGTAGCCACTTCCTTATTTCGGAATCTTTTTCTATCTGCCTATATACAATATTTCCCCAATTGATCATTGTCTATCCAGTACTGATTAATTACCCCATATTTCCTCCCTAGATACTACTACGATAAGAACATTATGACCAAAGTACACGGCAAGAGGTACGCTTACAAGTTCGACTTCCAAGGCCTGGCGGCCGCCACACAGCCGGCGGGCACCGACCCCACGGCATACAAGTACCAGAGCGACTTGTTCATGACCTCTTACCATCCCACGACCAAACTCAACTTCATGAGTTCTCACGCGTCCATACCGTCTTCAGCAGCTGGATATTGTGAGTACAACACCTTTTAGTTAACAAACACTCGTTTTTTAAATGTTTTTAACAACTGGATATCTATGTATGCCATAGACGAGATAACTGGCAATAAGTTCAAGAATGAGGTGATGATACTTGACGGTGATCAGGAATAACTAGCAAGACATCGTTCTTGCTTCAACATCATTGCTCACAGTGAATCAAAATACGGAAAAATTATGAGGCGAGTTTTGGGTTTCAGGTTAGACAAACACTGGAACGATAAAACTGCTTTGCTGTCAAAGATATTTGGTATATTGACCTTTATTTGTACAGCAACTCATAATCTCGAGCTTCGTTGTCTCTAATCATCATCAAGTGTCATCAATTATCAAGATTAAATATTTTTCCAACCTGTTACGAAATGAGAAAGTCGTGAACATGTAAAATTATATTAAGCTTATTTATTATACGAACAATTTTTCCTTGACACAACCCATGAACCATTGAAGTAATGAAATTTATCTAGATCTTTACGTAGAAAAAAATAAAGCTCGTTTGCGATATTATGTCCAGCAGCCACGATTTTCCCGTCACCATCCTCGTACTGGAGTAATCCGGGGGCAAACATTTACACGAACATTGCTGCTGCCTCCGGCCACACCATGGCTCACCATCCAAGCCACATGACTTCGCACATCTCTTCGGCGTACCCACACTACGCATGACAGAGCCTACTGGGCATCAATTCAAACTGGTGTTCCTCAAGTCCTACAAGCCACGCCACCTCCCGCGACCACCACCACTCTTCTCCTCCTACGGGAGCACCCAACGCCTCCAGCGTCTCTTTATCGGGGCCGCCGCCCCCAGGCGTACCGGTGCTGAGTTCAGGTCTTCAATCGGGTCTTCCGGACTGGCCGTCGACGTTCCAGCAGCATGGGGGCGCCGTCGGGGTGTCTAACCTGGTTGAAGAGCCTCACTGACTGGATGAGTGGTGGGTTGCCTCACCCACGCACACTCATTCTAATTGGAAAACTAATCAATTATGAACTAATGTGTCATGCTTTAGTCTTGACGAGCGAGCAACTAAGTCAATATGTACCGTAAGTTTGACTCTTTGGTTTTCGGACGTCTCTCATTCCGATTAGATCGAATTATTTTATTCCTTTTATTAATGTATCAAAATTTAATGTACCTACAGACGACTCCGGATAATAAACGGATAATTCAAATCAGATGGAAAATTTGTATATGTGCAGACATTTTCATTGCTTGGGTTTCCAATGAAACAGTTGCTAAATATTCGGAGACTATGTGAATCTTATTTTTGGATTTTATTGACATGTTATTATAATTTTTTCTGCTAATCACGTGTAAAGTGAAGATACAACCGACTACGGAACAGTGGTGAATATTTCGCGCAATCAGTTCCGTAGCCAATTGTTAGGTGACGTAATAAATTTATGGCTGAAAAAAAACTCAACCCTTTAACGGTTGTGGAATCTGTGATGACTCTCAACTGCTGTACATATGATACTAATGGCGACGTATATTTTGCAACATGTAAAGCTAAGGATAAACCTTTCGTATCAGTTACAAGGCGAGAAATGAAAGCTAGTCACTGTACAATGAAACGAGGTATTCTTGTAGTTTTGTAATATAACGCTCGAGAACATGAAATAATCTAACAAACGATCATGAATTTTATGTTGAAATTCAATTTCTCCTCGCAATGATCTCTCAATTTCAGTTTCTTCTCAAAACGTAACAAGCTAACAAGATTAATATGATACGTACTGTCGTGATTAATAGAAAAAGTAATTCTTTTGATTGATTCTCATTTAAAGCACAATGATAATAATAAACATACTTAGCTTCAAATGATCATATTCGAACGCCTAATGGGAATGTTTATTATTGAAAATTAAATCATATAAATTCACATTGATTTGTACACTTCATAAATTTTAAAGGCGAGAATCCCGACCAAATTTGAAATTAAGGAGACAACACATCGTTTGTTTAGGCAGAACAAATACGAGAATTAATTTAATATCAAGGTATGAGAAATATAATACAATTTGTATAAATGTATATATCCAGCAAGATAACAATGCTGATTATCTTATTTCATTGCAGAAGACATTGCAAATATTTATTTGTGATAGCAATTTGATGTGATATTATTTATGTTTTCATTCATTCGATAAGTTAAGTGAGGAATTTCGTTGCTTATAAGTTTCATGAATCTCATCATTACCATAAAGTCATTCAAATACCATTCATAAAGCACCGTCAATCGCAGTCAACAATCTGCATAGATCTCCTCCCTCAGTTCCGGAATGTCTGCAGCTTCTTCCTTTGTCTCTTCCCTCAGTCCCCTAGTGTCTGCACCTTCTTCCTTTGTCTCTTCCCTCAGTCCCCTAGTGTCTGCACCTTCTTCCTTTGTCTTTTCCCTCAGTCCCCTAGTGTCTGCACCTTCTTCCTTTATCTCTTCCCTCAGTTCTCGAGTGTCTGCACCTACTTCCTTGTTTTATTTTTTTCAGTTCCCGAGTGTCTGCATCTTCATCCTTGGTCTCTTCCCTCAGTTCCGGAGTGCATGCAGCTTCTCCTTGATCTCTTCCTTCAGCACTTGAATGTCTGCACCTTCTCTTTGGTCTCTTCACTCAGTTCGCGAGTGTCTGCATCTACATCCCTGGTCTCTTTCCTTGGTTCTCGTTGGCTGCACCTTCTTGATTGAATTTTAATTTTTTTCTACAATTCAAATATGTTCGCATTTTGTAAAATATACAAGCCACAAGTTGCAACTGGTATTCATGCTATCTTTTGAAAATAAAAAATGTGAATTAAGGGCATTACCGATATTCTAAGTTCAATTTAAAATGTTATCATTGCAGCAACATTTGTATGTGACCCTATTGTTATTTCTAGAAGCCTTCTGAACAAGAAGAAACGACTGTTTTAGGATGCAATTTTTCAACACACAAATAAGCAGAAAGGCGACTTCGAATAACCATATTTATTATGCGTAAAAAATATTGACAAAGTCAGAAGGCCATTGAATGACTAACTAGACGTTCACTCGCGACAATATTGATTTAAGGGTTTTAAGAGATTCAAACTTCTTTTCATTGGGAATGAACGACCCATTCCTCGATTTAAATTTGAAACGCGTTTCTTTTTTCAAAACTTTTGCTGACAACTTCTTTCCTATTTTTATTATAAGAATTAAAACTGCTTCAATTTCTCACGCAAGCACGAACATTCCATCATGAACATTTTCAATATATCCATTCCAATCATTTTCTAGTAAATAGTCTAACTAGTCCTTTTATTTGACGTTGACTTGGTCATATACTCACCAACGCAATACCTGCGAGTTGTTCTTCTTTACCTTAATTGTAAGGTCATTGTTGAGTTGACGTTAGCCTTTACTATAAACATTGTACAGACATTTGCTCACGTCTGATCCTTTCCCTTACTCCTACTCGGCAACGAGAGCAGGTTTGATGCTGCAGGCCGTTGTGTGCATCAGCCTCATAAAATAGAGATCCTTGTTAATGATGAATACAAATATCTTCAGGAGATTGAGGTCATGATTCGGGAGATAAGGATTACAAACTTAAAGATCATAAACTTCAACAAATTTAGGTATAAAATATTAGGAAACTTAAATCCGTAACATTTTTCAAGCGCCAAAAAATGAGTTTATACAGTAAATAGAAGAAAAAGAAGTAGTGGAAAGAGAGGGGAAAGCGAGGGCAGGAAGCTTCGGCTATTGATCCAATGAGAGACTGACTTGCCTCTTTCACGGGCTGCTTGGGATTGGCCAAGTGGCTCAGTACTGCCACCAATAGCACGTCCTTCTTTTTACAATTTTAGGAATTTTGTCCCCTTCGACAGGCCAATGGCAAAAGTGATCACTAAGTCCATTGACTCGGACACTAAGCCTTGGCGGGCAAAACAATCGCGACGTTGGTCAAATAATTCGGGTTGTGGAGAGCAGCGAGTTGTCCAACTTATGATAGGCGAGCGGCAGGGAAAAGGATCGAATATTAACATTAGCTTTTGATATACGATATGTTTCCAGTTATCATTAAATTAAAAATATGTTCAGTGCTCCAAGCATTGTCTCCATTGTTATCTAATTGATTTTGAAAGATTTCGTATTAAGATAAAGAGACATGTTGTACATATAAAATATTCCCTACATGTATCGTTGTTATCAGGATCGCCCGTGGAAAACTTTGTGCCACGTGGCTTAATACAAACGTTTAAAAATATATAAAGGCAAATACAAAGTAGCCTGTGATCAGCAAAATAATAAAAATATCTTTGAAGAAGAATTTATCTCAGTAACGAGTGATGTAACAGAGGCCATTAATATTCATTTACATAGACAAAGAGCAATGAATAAAGAAATTGGTGACTAGATTGGCCTGAATAATATTCGCTGTTGCGAAAAATTAAAAAGTTTGTCTCCACACAAGAAAATTTCTCTATCAAAATTTTTAAAATCCATTAAAGCAAATAATCTTGTTAGCCTACAGGTGTGTTATGAGAGGCCTCTAGGAACACTGTGCTCATTTAGAACCATTAATGGCAAATGTGCTGATTAAAGATGTTACAAGCCATTAGCCAATGGCAGCTCAGAAACCTCGGCTCAGTGGACCAATCGAAGAGCAGGAAGCGCGGATCATTTTGGAGGGCGATATTGATATACTCTGCCTCTAGCTGAGCGTTTGGAGTTGCTGCTCTTGTTTATCCTGTTGCATGGACGGCAGTTGAAATTGCTACTGTTGCAGCAATGGCACTTGAAATTGCTACTGTTGCAGCAATGACAGTTGAAATTGCTACTGTTGCAGCAATGGCACATACTGTTGCAGCAATGGCAGTTGAAATTGCTACTGTTGCAGCAATGGCACTTGAAATTGCTACTGTAGCAGCAATTACAGTTGAAATTACTTCTGTTGCAGCAATGGCAGTTGAAATTACTGTTGTTGCAGCAATGGCAGTTGAAATTGCTACTGTTGCAGCAATGGCAGTTGAAATAACTGTTGTTGCAGCAATGGCAGTTGAAATTGCTGCTGTTGCAGCAATTTCAACTGCTGCTGTTGCAGCAATGCTGTTCTTCTGTTGCAGTAATAGCAGTTGAAATCGCTTCTGTTGCAGCAATGGCAGTTGAAATTGTTTCTGGTGCAGCAATGGCAGTTGAAATTGCTTTCGCTGCAGCAATGGCGGTTGAAATTGCTACTGTTGCAGCTATGACAGTTGAAATTGCTGCTGTTGCAGCTATGGCAGTTGAAATTGCTTTTGTTGCAGCAATGGCATTTGAAACTGCCTCTGTAGCAGCAAAGGCAGTTGAAATTGCTTCTGTTGCAGCGATGGCAGTTGAAATTGCTTCTGTAGCAGCAAAGGCAGCTGAAATTGCTTCTGTTGCAGCAATGGCAGTTGAAATTGCTTCTGTTGCAGCAATGGCAGTTGAAATTGCTTCTATAGCAGCAAAGGTAGCTGAAATTGCTTCTGCTGCAGCAATGGCAGTTGAAATTGCTTCTGTAGCAGCAATGGCAGTTGAAATTGCTTCTGTTGCAGCAATGGCAGTTGAGCAGCAAAGGTAGCTGAAATTGCTTCTGCTGCAGCAGCTGTTGAAGCTGTGATACCAGTTTCTTGTGTTTATACTTACATGTGCTGCTAATTAATGTGGCTGTGTTATCTCTGGTTTCGGAAAAAAAATATATCTACATTTATTTGCAGGGAAACTATGAGTAATTTTGTTAGATACTTGAATAATACTGTTTACCTTGAAAGAAGAAATGTAAGTTCCATGATAATTGTTTTCTGGGCATTCAAAAAGGAATGCAGTTTCGTTATCCTGAGAGCGTCGTTGTAGTGCACCAGATTTCTCATGCCTAGTAAATTAAATATTGAGAGCAAAAGCCGCGGAGTTTGTCGAAAAACCTGCAGTCTGTCTCGAAATATCGTGGGGTTGAATTAATCGAAATTAATTTTGATTCAACAGTCATTGAAAAAATGCGTAAGCGATTCCATTATATGCTGCACGCTTGACGTCGGTCGAAAAACTCACCGGAGAACCTCACGGAACAGTCATTGTAAGACATACGTTAATTTTTTAATCCAACAAAAGTTTCAGTGCAGTATTTGCGAGTTCAATGAAGAAGAGTCTGAGTCTGAAGCTCATTTAAGATAAGGCAAGTTTGGTCAGCTATCTGAGGGGGCCTGAGGGAACCTATGATCCTTTGTCGAGCCAATAGGAAGTGGCTTATCTTTGAAGCGGGCAAATATAAGAGCCAATGGGAAGAGTTGTAAGAGCTTTCGAGCCAGCGGCTCCTTTGAGAGATTTTCCGGAGATGTCATCGGTTCTTCTGGTCCACCGATAATGGGTGGGAGTTAGAGAGTCGGTGGATGGAGTGAGAGAGAGCAAGCAGGCGGAGAGACCACGGTTCATAGAACTCGTTTAAAGATGGCACAAAATGTGCGCTGGTGGAAGAAATAGGAAGTGCTTGAATTATGTGCTTTAAATTATTTATAATAGGGAGGTAAAACGTTAAGATTTCTGAGAAAATGCAAGTTACAATGGGAATTTTTTGCCTCAAAGTAGGAGGCCGATTAAAAGTGTTGGTTTTCCGTAACAATATCAGCGTTACCACGAATACAAATTATGCATGGATCGCATCGCACATCCGTGTCAACATAGGAAATAATAACTTTAACCGGCATTCAGCACATGACGTAGGAGACTGAAATGATAAACATACAGAATCGGGCGTAAAAGAAGCGCCTCAGAGACAACAATAAGCTGGTAAACCATCACGGAAGCGTAGGCACTCGTAACAGAAGTATGTAGCTTACATTAGACATCCGCCATGGGCACGTTAGCGACAAGGAGGGAGATGCCACGCACCAGCCCACATTACAACCTAACTCACTACTGAGACCCGCGGTAACAGTGGGACTAACAACTGAGACCTGCAGTAACAGTGTGACTAACAAGCGAGTCCAGCACTGGATGGTAAGGCACTTCGGGACAAAGCTGCTGGCAGGACGCATCCGATAAGAGTCCAGATGAACGAATGTATGCGCCAGAAGGCCTAACTGAGATAGATAGCAAGAGAAAAGGCCTTAAGGACCTAGAAAATACAGCATGTACAGAGAATAGGAACGTAAGCAGTATACATTTATTGAGAGACGCGCATTCGTAAGCAGGATAGGAATCTTCAAAATGTGGCCATCTCAAGATATCTGCAAAAGGCTTGCTAGAAGCATTTTTCTAGAATATTTTTCTCAAAAAAAAATGTCTTATTTCTCGGTCATCGTGTGTGCGGCCAAGATGTAGAGACCGACGACGGCAGCACTGGACTTGAACGTTGTGATGCCGATTGATATCAGTAATATTCCAATAACATAATTACTCGGCATAAATTCAACTAAACCCGGCATCAAAACTTACGAATGAATTGAGGAAATAACTCATGTTCAAATTAGTTTGTGTTGTAACAATTTCATCTCATCTGTTGGAACTGTACTTCATTGGCCAAGGTCGAAAATAAACAAGAACTTATTTTTGCAACTAAATACACTCGTATCTCACTAACTGAACAGACAATTCGCTTTAGTGTTTTTATTATTTCAAATATGAAATTTTGCTTCTTGCCGTGTAACCTCACCCGACATACTCTGTAATTTGCAGCACATTTATGTGCGCGACCTCCGGCTCAAACAAACCCAACTCAACTTTAGCTAACCAAACCTAGCCTACAGTAGACTAAGCTTATGTAACCCCCGCCTGATCCAACTTACCCTATCATATTGTCAGGTCTCGTGTTTGATTGTCATTCATAACACACGTTATCCGTTGCTTTGGCTGCACGTCAATAAGAGGTTAGAATTATCTGGGTAAAAGCGTCACAATTTACCTAAACAATCTAGATTCATCTACACTACAAAAAAGTAGGAATTAGAAATAAAGAAAAACGAAGCTCGTTGAAAGTTCAAATAACATTAGTGCAATGCTTTTTCTCCCAATTTTTGGGGGTTAAAAGTTCATTATCACCAAGACAGCGGAGTCGGATACCTTTATTAAAAAACGTCATGTCGGTGAGCCTTCCATGGCGGCTGTAGACGAACGGCCTTCAGGTGGCCGCAGAATCCACAGATAAATTTCCCATCAGCGCGGTGAAGATACCGTAGACTTACGTCAAGTATTTGCACTGTAATACTACACCGACGATTTTCATTGAAATTTTAAGTAGGAATAATATGAGCAATAAGCTTATCAAATGAATGAACAGTGAGAGGTTGAGACTCTTCGCCCAGGAGTCATTTCCCTTTTTAATGTTTCATTTTGTCCAGCATATTAAGGAATCATTAAAACTTCGTGTCATCATAAAGCATTCATATAAATTCCTGATAATGAAAACATTATTTACAACGCATAAACAGACACTTCAAGTGCTCTCTTATCACATCGTCTGGCATGCTTGTCACCCACGCTACTACAGTAAATAAGCTTTCAAACAAAAAATCAACAGAATCGGCAAATGGGGTGTGCTTCGGAAGCAAAAAGATTTAGTTCAAGATAATTTCTCTATAAACTCGAAAAAAATATCCAAAAGTTTACTTCCATAAAACTGGGAAATAAAGGACTTCATTATAAAGAACTCCAACATTATGATTATAACGTCTACAAATCGGTTTCAATTATTCTGGCCATTTCATTTCCAAGTGTACAAGAATTATCGACTTCTCAAATTAGTGCACTAAGCCATGAAAACATCTTCGGTCTTTCTGCAATACAAGAATAATTACGAAAGGCAATTTCCTGATAATTTTCGGGGATCTAGAATTGACTAGAAGTGGCAACATAGTTACTACAGCCCTTCAGAAACCGTCGCCTATTTGACCCAGTAAGTTGAACAGCAATTTTCGTGCAAACGTCACATTGTTCGTCTCGTGGCCACCAACATAGGGCACAGAAAACGGTGAAGCACTTAGAACTTGTTTTCGTTCTAATGATGAAATTAGCTCACATTTAGAGTCGTTAAGATCTCTTGTTGGTAAGCACTTCCATAATGTATTTTAACTAGCGAGAAGTTGATGTGTAGCGTCGAAAGCATCAGAGATCAGGCGGTCAAATAATATGACCCATAAGATCGGCAGCACTTAAATTGCTTCGTGAGCTTCTTTTTGAATTCTAGCTCACCTATCATCTCAGATTCGCTCGCGTGAATTTGGACAGAAGTTTCTTTGGTGTTCGTTCTTTTTTGTGTAAAACATGTCATCACTTCAGGTTCCTCTTGAGTACGCGTGAGGCTAATCTTCAGTTGTTGCCGTTGTAATTGCTCATACTGGTCCTGACGACTAGAGAGGGGGTGATAGGTCAGTTTTTCAAGGCGTCAGTCAAGGCCGGCGTCAGTAGTCAAGGCTGTATTGAAATAGTCAGCTGTATTGAAAAAGTGGATGGGTCTACGACCATCGTTGGCTCGCTGACCCGCCAGAACCATTTTGGTTTGCATTTAACACCCTGGACAAGCCAGGTACTCATTTATCAATCAGAACTGCACGAATAACTAAGTTGGCCATGAGCTGATATTCTCAGAACTTGTCTTAGTGACAACTTGCGACTTGAAGAACTTGTCTCTTAGTGAACTCTCAGTCTCTCGCCACTGCACCACTGCAGCTCTGCCAATCTTCAGTCAGAAGTGATGGTATAATGATTTAATGAATACGAACTAAACGACAACTTTCTTGAGACATTCAATGCATCTCCAGCATCTGTCATTAGCTCAGCGTATAGTTCAATATCCTCTATAAAAGTCGAGCAGAAACTGAGGCTTTTCACCCGCGGCGAAGCGTCCGTAGTTCTGGACAAACGCTTTGGCGACATCGCTGGCTCGGCTCACGCCTGCGCAGTGCGGCGTGACCACAACCTGCGCATTTAAACAAACAACGTTCTTATTTCCAACTCGTCAACATCAAGGAAAACAAGAGAAAAATATTGTCCAAACTGAGATATGACATGAATTTTAGTACCACAGGAATTTTTGTGAAGATGTTAGTAGTCATGGCACTTAAAACAATGATTCTATAACGAGAGAAAGAGATCTATGCTGAATCTTTTATAGTATTTAGTTATCACTGCCGCGTTTATAAGATGCCTCAATCAATACATATTTCACAATAACGCAAAAAGGTTGTCAGCTTAAAACACTGGCACTGCCACGCAAACGCGACTCTTAATGCGTTGTAAAATTCATTTCCCCATTTCAGGTGATTATCGAGACGTTGAATTACTCAATTTCACCACATGCTGATATTCTGAAGTTAGGTTTCCCCCATTGCATTTTTTTCGAATGTAAGGATAAAAAATTATCGATTAGGACCAAGAACTCGACCTTAGGATGCGTCCAGAGCAGTGACGAGGGCAGCAGAGGCTCCTCCTGGAAGACGTCGAGGACAGCGCCCGCCAGAGGGCCGGCGTCGAGCGCGGCGAGTAAGTCGTCCTCAGACACCACGTTGCCGCGGCCAATGTTGATCAACACACTGCCATTCCTGGCGATAGTAATTCAATATAGATTAACAATAACAAGGATATTTCATACACTTCAACCATAACGATTATAGTTCATATACTTCAATCATAATGATGATAATTAAATATGCTGCGACATTTTGACTTTATAATTAAACGACATTTTGATTTGATAATTAATTAAATATACCGTGACATTCAACCGTCAACATTTTGACGCTACAAACATGAACATGGTCACACTTTTTGCGGTTAAACTTGAGAACTTTAGACAATAATGAAATGAGCGGAGCTATTTTGGAGATATTCAGCCCTTACTAATAATAAAACATAATAAAACAGAAATAGAATTTCATAAGGCGCTTTTAAATGAATAAATACAGTAGGAAGAAGTCACTGCTATGTTGAAAATCGAAAAATACAATAGCAAGATAATTCAATGATTTGCATCAATGATTCTGAGATGTAGGTAAGAGATGAAAGCCTTGACATGAAAAACTGAGGAGTTCAGTCACCTTAACTTAATGCCAACGGTATTGAGTTCACTTGACAAACTACCACAATAAGAAAGGTAAACTTGAAAAGTTTATGTTCAGTAAACATGAAAAGTTTACGTTAAGTAAACTTGAAAAGTTTACGTTAAGTAAACTTGAAAAGTTTACGTTAATTAAACTTGAAAAGTTTACGTTAAGTAAACTTGAAAAGTTTATGTTAAGTAAACTTGAAAAGTTTACATTAAGTAAACTTGAAAAGTTTACAAAAGTTTCCACATGAAGAACGAGAATGAAAGAAAGCCTAGGCAAAGAATCTATAAAAATGATGAAGCTATAAGCAAAACAGAAATGAAGATTAAATTATATTTGACAATGAAAATAAAACTATTTTGAAATTGCCTAAAAGATAAACTAAAGCAGCACAAAAGTGAGGCTAGTTGAAGTCTTCAAGCATTTTACAGTAGTTGAAAATTATTTATTGTAGAATTATGTCAAATTCCATTCCAGTGCACTGAGATATACAAATCCCAAGTCATCAATAGCACTGACTTGGCGTGCTGCAGGATAGCTGCAGAGAGCAGTCCAGCCGTGAGAGGAGTGCTAGGCAGGCAGCTGACGATGTAGTCACTTTCACTCATAACAGTGGCAAGGCTGTCACCATGGCTGCCCATGCAAGTCTCATAATGTACATTGTCTTCAAAATTATTATATTTACATTTTTAGCGTGTTTTCAAAATATAAGTAAAAGATCTTGCTCATTGAGTTCAAAGAGTTCACAGATATGAATCAAGTTGCCATATGGCTTTTGAACAATTTCTCATAAAATTTTTGTAAAAGAAAAGATCAAATTTTCATGATGTAAATCTAGAGATAAGTCTAGGGACATAATTAGAATAAAGAGGTGATTTTCAAACCAAAAACTAATGACAACTTAAACAGGCATTGTCTTTTGATAATAATCCATGGACAATTAAAACTTTTTGAGGCACACAACTCTATGGATTCAACTCCCATGGCATGGGTTGTAACAATATATTAACTAATCAGCAATGTCATTTCAGTCAATTTTGTTTAACGCACTAATGAGCATCCGCACATTGATGCAGTCCAGTAGGAGAGTGAGCCGTGAGAGAGTACGCCAGCACATGACACTTGAAGCTCTTCAAAGCTCGTCCAACTGTAAAATGTATCAACTATCAATGAAAAACACAGAACAAACACAAGACGATGAGCAACACTTTAATATTTCATCCAGATTTAACAGAAAAACAACCTTCTTAGAAAATGTTGATAGCTCAGTGATTTTAGCTGCAGCAGAAATCTGATATGTAATCAAGTAATTCAAGCAAATTCAGTAAATATGTATCTGTCATGCAGCTGATATGTAATTATTTCATATGGATGATGTAGGTGAAGGGCATGATCAAAATATTTAGGTTTTAATGGTAATGGTAGAAAGTAATTTTTTGAAACAAGGTTAACTCCAAAAATACATTACCAGCTTACTTTCCTGACCAATTTGTCCAAAACCAAGTAAAGCCACAGTTATATCTCTGAGGCTCCTGTAAGTTGCCACCCGTCCACTGTGGTACCACACACAGTTAGCCTGAAGATCAGATAGTCAAGAGGCAAGATATTTATATTTACATTTCTCATAAAAAATCTCATATATTATCTCAGACATTAAAGGCATACATATTAAAGGCATACCTTTCAATTTTATGAATAATGAATTAATCAACTTCATTTCCTAGAGAAATCTGATCTTCACCATACTACATTGCTCAAAACTGTTTGTAGGGAAGGTACAAAAATAAGGAAATAAATAGGTAAATTTCTCACATTTTGTACTCACTTGCTTAGATGCAGCTTCTCCCCAGCCTCTCTCATGCGCTATGATCTGTCCCACGACATACTCACTCATCAACTGACTGAATGAATCACTGGCCAAGCGGCTCATGAAATAAGGTGGGGCTTTCTGAAAAAGACACTCTTTTCATGAAAAAAAAAATTCGTTTCATCTTAAGTTTAGAGACTGACTAAATTGCAGGACTTTAGATTAAGTACATAATGCTTCCAATAACTTAATGAGAAATCAAGATGGAACTACTAGGCTTGGCAAGATGTACCTTGTGTTGGAAGTGTTGCATCAGGCCTTCAACCCCAGCCCATGTACTTTGGAACCACTTCAAATGGGGCAATCTATCTGCAAACTAAAGAATTTTCTTATAAAGATGGATAACAACCATGATGACTGAAAAATTTATACTATTCAAATGCTTCAAGAGCAGGGGTAATTAAAAAACTGTATCTATAACTATAGTTCTTAAGCACACTTAGATTTCATGATATTTCTGCAGCACACTTGGACCTATTTTATATTTTTTGTAGATATGGGCCTGACACTTGACTCTGTCTCAAATGGTGAATGGTACAATTTTCAAACTTTCACCCTGTTTTCCACCAACTGGCAATAAAGCTACTTGATACTCTGCCACAAGCAAGGCCAATGGAAGCAATGGAATGCTATGATGCTATGCCTATGCAAGTTGACTTGAATGGTCCTTAAGCCTATCTTGTAACATTATTTTGTGGCAAATCCAATCTTTCAATGTTGGCTATCATTCTATGAAATCACATTCATTACAAAAATTACACAAGAAGTTTAGAATAGTCATCACAAATAGTGACAACTATTCCAATATTCTACATTAAAATTCTACAATTTGTGTTACAAGTGAATTACCGTAACTAAGAAGTTGGGATTACTATTAACATGATATACACTTGTCTATTTGTCTATAAGCCAATAACTTTTAATTATATATAATATGTTATGAATTTTCATTTACCTACCTGTACAAATGCATTGCTGTCAGCTAATAAAACTTCAGCCTCCTTTAGCTGATTAATTTCTTCTTCAGAAATGACATGGCCGTACTTCTGGCTCATTTCAGCTGTAAAAGGCAAATCAATACATTACAACAAAATGCATACCAAGTCTTGTAGATATGAAAACAATAAATCATAATTTTTTTCAATGTTTTAAATTTGTTTAATAAAAAATTTCCCTGAGAAATTATAAATAAATTACCTTGAAATTTTACAATCTTAATATTTTCTTGTGGGAGCATTTGTTGAATAATATCTCCAAGCTTGGGAATTATTGAGAACACAAAAATTCTGGGTTTTGAAGTCATCCTGCAGTGGTAGTGCAGTTCCTCAAATAATGCAATTGACACATTTGATTCTGTGGCCTAAGTTGCAGGAAGGCAGGGGATTTCCAATGATTAGGAATTGAGCTAATCAACTAACTAGCCAAGTTCACTTATATGCATAGCAAGCATATCAAAGTTACTACCTATCTTGACAGAAAGATGTATTAAAAATTTTTTTTCTCAAACTATCAACCATTAATGACGTTTCAGTTCAGCAAGGAGAGCAGAAGAGGGGTTTGTTTTGGGGTTTTTAGCACATTTTCTCATTTATGGAAATAAAAGGTGCTATTGTGCTTGCCATGTACGTCCGTCCGTCTGTGACTTCACATTTTTGTCTACAAGAAAATGTGCTCTCTATCACTCACTGCAGTGAGAAGTTGAGAACTGAGTTATATTTTTTCATCACTAGTAGGGATGAGCTGATAGAAATTACAACTCACATTAGCTCAGTTATCATCCCTACCTTCATCCCATCTACTGATGATCAAATTGTGTAAGTTTGATGAAGCTTGTCTTCAACCACTCTGACAACTTTTACCAACACTGTGCACGCATGGCTTGCAGCATTTGCTCAAAGCTTTTGGATATTCATTGCACATAGACTGATAGGCTGTAGTGCTGTACAGGGCCAGTCTGTCCTTCCATAAACTGTCAAACCTGCTCTTGAAGCTGTTTACCAAGGGTGCTGCGATGACACACTGGCAGACTATTCCAGGAGTTAATTACTTACTAAGTTACTGTGAAAAGAACTTGCTACACATGCCAAGTCAACATCTGCCCTTTGCAAGCTTGAGAGAGTGGCCTCTAGTAATCTTTTGATGGATAACAGGAATTTATGCTTCAACACCCTGTGAAGTCCATGCATATACTTGTACAGTTGTACCTATCAATCAATAAAGTCACCCCCAGTGACCCCACAGAGGCATAGACATCTGCGCTCATGGCAGGGGAGAAACAATGCTCTAAGGTGCAGCTAAACAAGTAGGCTTTGGCAACTGGCTGTTACTGGCAAGAGTGATATGAAACAAGCTGCCATGAGCCATCATCCACTTCCACAACAGGGTATGCAGCCTGCCAGTATGGTACAATGGAAGGGCAGTAATTGTGCCTTCCTCCAATGGGAATGCTTTATTTAAGTGATTGATAATTTTGCAGAGCAATTTCTGCTGATCATTTTGGCAAAGCAGAGAGTATTTTTTTATTCTTTCTAGAGTTAAATTTTGAGTTCTATAAGTATTAAGTACTAAGTAGACCAGCTAAGCTAAGTATTATAGATAAGCTACAATCATTATCATACACAAGATAATGGTTTAAATCTTGAGTAAATGGAAAAATTAAAATGAACTGATTAGTATAAAAGCTTCTGGATTGCCACTATCTGTATTCTGTACAGCAAAGCAATAGTGAATTTTTTATATTTGTATAAACCAGTTCATTTTCAAATTTCAATTCCATGATATAGGTAGTTGAACCGTAGTCCAAAATATCATTCAAGATCATACATATGAATTGTGCTAGTATCTAGGATACTTTACTGCAAATTACTGGCATTGTGAGAGAATGTCATTTTGCTCTGTGCATTTTGTGTTGCCATTCATTCTCTCATCACTCATGCACTTCTCCCTGATGTTTTTGTGTCTCTTCTTGTTCCAGAATCCAGATCACTATTACTTTTATGGTAACAGATTTTACTGATAATTTTGGCATTATGTGATATTTGATGTACACTGAATTTGGAGTCCGGCCGCAAGTCCGGCCATAAATTTGTCTGAGATGTTTTTTCTAAAGCTGAAACAGTTGAAAAACGTATTGGTTCACTAAATGGGGTTCTATTTGTGAAATACATATTTGTGTTTAACCTTTATTTTTTTAAATTGCAGCGTACTAAATTTCAAGAAAGAGGGGTATGTTTAAATGTCACAGTGTGTCTGTGGGCCCGGGGGGCACTAGAAATTCACTAGGGAGGGAGCCAAAGGGGGCGCCAGCCTGAAAAAGTTTGGGTAGTGGGTACCTACTTTGGGAACCACTGGGAGTCTGGGACTGGGTTAGATGCACATATTAGTAGAGTTTAAAAAAATTCACTGACAGCAAATTAGCAGCCCATTACCATTAGCACGATAGCACTCTCGAGGCGACCCCGCCCCCGGGCTTACACAGTTACCTACGCCGCAAACCATCCAAAAGTAACTACAAACCATCCAAAAGTAACTAACGCTTTCTTCTGGAGTGAGGTTTGACCTATGGACTTATTTTTTTTTTTTAATTGCTTTTAAGACTTCGGGTATGAACAGATCACACCTCCCAGCCTGAGCACAACTGGGTTTCCTTGTACTATATTGCCACTCTGATTTCAAAGTAAATCTCTAAGGCCTCTCACCAGCCGGTGGATGTTGTATGGAAGGAAGTACAAAAAGGATTAGACACTGGAAATTTTTCAAAGTTTGTTAACCATGTTGCATCCCAACAGGTACTGTCCAAGGTGACGAATTACTGCAGTTCTTCTTTTTTGAGGGATATCTCCTCC